AGTGTGATCGTATCTGCAAATAATCTTAATCCAAATATTTTCATATCAAGGCCTAAAACCCCTAACGAGGAGATTCTTAATAATAATGCCAACATGTGACATTCTTATACAAGTTGGAAATGAAAGTCATGTTAATGTAAAGCAGCTTCCAGCCAGTAAAGTTATTAAAATATGACCTAGAAACTGACAAAGCTCTTTGTCAAGGCTTTTACTAACAAACCATAATAGACAAAAAGCAGTGCTGAAACCTGTAGTGGTGTCATAATAATAATAATAATTTCATCCTGTTTAGATTTACTTTGTAGTCAACTTTACTTCATGAGTTTCTTGAGTTTTTTGGGGGAAGCCTACCAGGAAAGGCGCACTGGTCCAGGCCATGGTGGACAGCGCTCCGAGGTAGGCCGTCTTGCGTAGCACGATAAGCTCCTTTTGCCGAATGGCCAGGACCTTTTCTTTGAAGGAGTTCTCCCACGCGTACAGCTTGAGGACTTTGATGCCGTTCAGGATCTCGTTCATCAGCTTGATACGAGCATCTTTGTGCTGCATCTGCTCCACCTGACAATGATGGTGAGACCAGCTGTTTTTACTTGTGAATTTTGATACTTAAAACACAAAGGCAACTTATTTTTAAGCAAATCAGTTGTGTAAATGTCTCATTCTGTTTTTTTTACACTGTGAAATACCTGATAGGCTCGAGTCTTCATAGCGATAAATGCATTAAAAGGGATCAGCATGATCATAACAGCCACCCCAGCAAGCACAGATGGACCGAGGATCTGTAAAATAAACAAGAGTCAGCAAATGATTAAATTTATGATACAAAATAAAGAAGAACTCTCCTGAGTGTAAATAAAAACGTGGCAGGTCCTGGATAACCACTACCTCCCACGGTCTGGTGAGGAAACTGTAGACTGACTGGATAAAGAACTGGATCCAGTGTGGCTCAGCTTCCCACAGCTCTGACCACGAGACCTTCCAGTCCATTCCCTTCTCCCACTGAGCCCACACCCCTTCCTGTCACAGTCTGTCTCTAGCTGTGCAGGTTTCCTCCCCCCCTGTTCAGATTCCTTCCTAAACCAACTGGGTTCTTTCTTCTTCCCAGGTTTTGTTGCATCATGGTACTGGCGTGCTGTTGCCAACACCTAATAATAATAATAATAATAATAATAATACATTATTTATAGGCGCCTTTCAGACCCTCAAGGTCACCTGACAGTAACACGTAAATATACCATAAAAAACATAAGAAAAAAAAAAATATAGCAAACATGGTAGATAAAATTTAGACATAAACAGTAGGGATGGGTATCGTTTAGGTTTTATCCGATACCGGTGCCAAACCGGTACTTTTGAAACAGTGCCGGTGCTTAAACGGTGCTGGTGCTTAAACGGTGCTCAAACCGGTGCTTAAAGAATGGAGAACACAAAATTGGTCCAAAAACCTCTCATGTTCAGCTGTTT